TGAGGTTCTTGATAGTTATATGATATTCCTACCGAATCTTGATTTTGGAAGATGAATTGTGTTCTTGTTGATTTAAAAATAATTAGAACCCTAGGTTATATCGTGGAATTCGTATGGTATTATTCTTGGTATATTGGGTGGGAATTCGCATGATTGGGTGTTGATTATGTTTAGAAAAGCATGATAGGTTATGTGCCATATGTTTCTTGATTTTTGATCCGTTAATTGTCTACGTGTGTTATAAATTGCGTTTGAAAGTGTCTAAGCATGGCTTCGGGTTCCACAAAGGTTCCCGGGGCGTTTTTAGTGGAAAAAAGTCAGTGGGGGGAGGTGGGGGTAGGGGACCTGCCACTTACCCGCGGCCTACTTGGGCAACGCCGGCAGCGGGCAGCCGGCGGGTGGGCAGCTGCCCGCCGGGCACCCGCTGCCCGGAACAGTGCCACCGCCGGGTGACCCCTCACCCACCGGCTACCCGCTGGTTTGTACCCCAATTTGGGATTTTGGCTTCCCCGTTTGATGTTTCCCCGATCCCCGTGGTGTCCCAACGGATTCCGTCCATCGTGCCTATGTCTAGTTTGATATTTCGGGTACCGTTCGTAGGTTGTATGAGTCTTATATACTGCATGCTAGTTGAATTGGTATCCCGTTGACCTAGGTGAAAGAAGTATGAACCCCTTAGGATTATTCTTAGTATGTGAAGGATCACGCATAGGTTTTGTTATACGCTTTCTCCCCCTTCCCAATGGTTAATGTGGGTTGCATGTGCTTGCTATGTGTTATGTGTGCATGATACCCCAATTCGGTTGCGATCGGATTGGTTATTCCTGAGCTGCGGTTCAGAAGCTGGCTGCGGTCAGATTTACACTCCCGGGCTGCGGTCCACCGTTTGGTTGCGATCAAACGTTTCTACATGAGCTGCGGTTCATATTTCCTGGCTGCGGTCAGATGACATACTCTTGGGCTGCGGTCCACTATTTGGTTGCGATCAAACTATGATGAGCTGCGGTTCATCGGTCGGTTGCGATCGACCCCTCCGTGTTGTGATACGGGGCAGGGTGCTGCGGGGCCGTGTCAGAGCTATATGCGCTGACCCTCATGTATGGGCATGCGATTGGTCCTGTGGCGCCAACAAAGTGTGCTATGTGATGAGATATGGATGAGTTGTTGCTATGAGTACCTTGGGGATGTGACTATGGGATTTACACTGGGAATCGTATATGTCGGATTATGATTATTAATTGTGCTTATCTTACCTGTCTTGTCTGTTGTAAACTGTATATGCTTGGTATAACTGCTGTCTGTGCTTAGCCCTATCTGTTGAGTCGATCCCTGTTTTAAAAGCTAGAGTCTCGTAGGATATATCTTCATGCTTCAAATTGGTTTTCGTATATCTATATATATGACTAGAGCAAATTACACTTTTGGTCCTGTGACTATTAGGGGTGTGTTAATTTGGGTACGTGACTTTTAAAACTAACAATTTAGTCCTTTAACTATCATTTTTTTAGCAGATTTGGTCCTCCTGGCCAAATTGCCGGTGGAATTTGGCCGGAAAGACATTCGAATTTTTAAATCAAATATTAGTGGGGGTAATTCGGTCTTTTTAATTGTAAAAAAAATAGCGTTTGATTTAAAAATTCGAACGTCTTTCCGGCCAAATTCCACCGGCAATTTGGCCTGGAGGACCAAATCTGCTAAAAAAATGATAGTTAAAGGACTAAATTGTTAGTTTTAAAAGTCACGTACTCAAATTAACACACCCCTAATAGTCACAGGACCAAAAGTGTAATTTGCTCATATGACTATATGTATTGTATTTCAACGCGTTGGAGTGGGTTACCAGCATCTCTCGCTGAACAGATATATTTGGCTAGGCACAGACGAGTAGATCACAGGAGCGCGCTAGAAGCTTGGGGCGTAGATTAGATAGTGTTCCCTTTCGGCCTGCGTGCCATGACTTTGTATTGATACTGATTGAGGTTTTATTTAGCCTGTGCACCTGAGTTCTCTAGCTCGGGTGTGGCATAACACCCCGTACTCCTGTATCCTATTTTGGGATTTAGTGAGATTCTATCTCCATTATATAAGTTTTAAAAGTCTTAAAAATCTGGGGTGTTACAACCCCCCCCCCCCCCCCCCCCCCCAAGACTCACTCCCAATCCTTTCGAGACCAACAAAGACAAGTAGTACAATTGTAACACATTGGGATTAGTGCTTGATTTGAACACATCTTGTCATCTTCTGCTCAAGGGGTCTTCGAGGCTGACCCTTGTAGTAGAGATTGGGTATTGAAGAACGAAGGAGATATCCAGTTCGAAGGAACACCACCTACAGTCAATAGTGCTTTGGTGATACACTGTGACTTTTCACTTGTATTTTTGCACAAGATACTAATGAAATCTTCCTTGGACGATAAGGAAGAGAGTGGCCTAGGCTATTGCTGCACCACTATAAAAATCTTTCTTTCTACTTTACATTCTACATTTTAATTTCTTGCACTTTACTTTCAACTTATCGAAACATTTAAGCACACATGCATAACATGTCTTTTTCGTTCAAGTTTTTTCTATCTCAAAACGCGCTACAAACTTCAAGGGCATGTTTACTAATAGGATATTTTCTCCAATTTTCGAGAAAACTGGAGAATTGGAGAATAGAAAACAGAAAACATGTTTACTAGCACAGTTTTCCATTTTGAAAACTGAAAATAATTTTCCAGTTTTCTAGAAAACATGAACAGTCTTAAAAACTGTTTTCGAAATGAAAAACAGAATCATCTATCATCTATTTGGTTACATGTCACTATAACCACATTACTATGATTACATTCATTATCATATTCTTTTACTTATCACCATCTTTTATTTTTTCTACTTACTTTAATTTACTTATTTAAACATAACTTATTTTCTTACACTTTAAAGTTAGACATTATTTACATTATCAAAAGTAAGAATTGAACTCTATATAATGTTTTAGATTTTGATTGAATCCAATAGATTATTAGTTCGGATATTTTAGTTATGTTATATTGTAATACAAGTTCGGTCCTCCGGATATCGGATATTGAAATCTCACATATATTAGAATTCAAAGTAAAAATTATATATATATATATATATATATATATATATATATATATATATATATATATATATATATATATATATATATATATATATATACATGTCATTGAAATGAAAATATCCAAAGAAAATATTTTGGATATTAGCTCAAAATAATATTAATATTATCTAAACTAAATTTTAGGTGAACTTAGTAGGTTATTGATTCGGATATATTTTTTAATTTTTATGTAAAAATCTTGCATATATTAGACTTAAAGTAAAAAAAAAAAAAAAAATTTATTTCATTTAAACCAAACATATATAAAAATATTTTAAATATAAGATCTAAAAATCACTCAAAATTAAACTTAATTATGTTAATTTTATAACGTTAATCTAAAAAAATATATATTTGAAAAAATAAGTGTTAGTAAACAAGTTTTCTAAACAGAAAACAGAGAATGAAAAACAGAGGATGAAAACTAAAAAATTAGAAAACAAAAAACATATATAGAACAGTTTTTTGTTAGTAAACGGGTCCTAAGTCTTCTACTGCCTATCACTAGTTATCCGAGGGTGACAAGCTCTATCAATTGTTTAACATTGTTTTTGAAAATCGTTTTGAAAAATTATCTAAGTGAAAATTTTGAAAAAGTCTATTCAACCTCCCCCTCCACTCTCCTTTTATGCTTTCATCGGGATCAACAAATTGGTAGTTATAGTTAAGATCAAGAGCTTACCACTATGTGAAAAAATTATAACTAATAGTAAAGATGTAAATTTATTTTCTTATATTTGTGTAGTAATCAATGCCACATTTCAATGACATAATGCTAGACTTGACCCTCTAAGCCTTGCAAACTAGTGTATGCTATGCATTGGTTAATACATTTAATGTGCATCCATATAACATATTGCATGTACTACACCCTAAACCTATGCCCCACCTTTGGAGTCAGACCAACAAAAGTTTTCTTCCATTCATATTGCTCTCAATAATTATAGATTTGTTTTCTCTATTTCGATCAATTAACTATATATATATATATATATAGAGTTCATAATCTCTATGTATTATCTCATCCTCCATATCTCCCTCCATTTAATTAATTAGAGTCAATTTGTTAGAAATATTTATCACCTATTCAAATCTCCCTCTCTTCTATTTATTATTGTATTCTCTTTAGTGTGTTTTGAACACATTATATTGCCATTCTAATCATGCTCTCCATGGACACCACCCGTATAATTGTGGGCATAATTGGTTAGTGTTTTTTTAATTTGAATATCATTCTTTCTCTTGATATATATTCGGAGTATATTCTTTTTTTTTTTTTTCACAAAACTTTGTAGTAAGAAATCTTTACTAATTATAATACGTTTATTTAAACAAAATGCAACTTAAATATCTTGTTCCAAATATTTTTGTATTGAATTTTCTATAAAATTTGTAATGTTATATTATTACACGATATTATTTTGTTTTGGAGTTAATTAACTTGTTCTTGAATATTACAAAATATGATGCTTACTTTGGTTTACAAGAAAACCTTTAACTATTACTTAAAAGAGCCACAATGAGTTAGAACAACCTAAGTTGTTCATAGTTGACTGCTTAAATCAAAATGGTCAATAGACAATCCCATGGAGAATCGAGTTTGAAACCCTGCTAACTATCTAATTAACAAAGTTTTAACATTTAAATTAAATTAAGGTTTGATGCTTTTGGACCAGGACTATGTGGTCTAATAGTACCCGGGTTAGACTTTTATTTGAAAGATTATGAGTTCGAGCCTTACTACATTGTAATAGAGCTAGTAACATCCAAAAAAAAAGTTTTGATGCTTTCGGGGCCAGAACTAACCACATCCATGCGTTACCTAAATAGATTATGATAAGTAAATATTATTTGTTATTACTAATCTCATGCAAATGTTTATTTATTCATTTTCAGGGAATCTTGCATCTTTGTTCTTGAGAATCTCACCTTTGTAAGCTCCATTTCCAATGCTAGCTAGCTTTTAGTATCAAATTATTATGAGTTAATAACTGATCTAAACCATCCACTATTAGAATTTCATCACTTTGATCTTGGACTTCTAAACTTGCTTAATTTCATCCATTACTATGTAATTTTTATCTAAAATAGTTCTTTGTCCAAATCAAAATAGTCCTAAAATAGTCCTAATTAGGACTATTTTAGTTAACAATTACATAGTTGGAGATGATTGAAATTGAGCAAGTCTGGAAGTCCACTACTGAAAATTATGAAATTTCCGACCACCTGAAAGTAATCTTAAATCAAGTCGAAAGCAAAAAGTGGTCAGAAATAGCAACAAAGATTTTTAAGGATACCAAAAGTGGTCGGAACAAGACTTTCGACTTGATTTAAGATCACTTTTAGGTGGTCGAAAATTCCATAATTTCCAATAATTTCTAATAGTGGTCGAGGGTCAAAGTGGTGAAATCCTAATAGTCGAGAGACCAAATCACGTATTAACTCAATTATTGTTGGTGTTGTTGTTGTAGTAAATATAATATTTTTAATTTAATTTCCTTTTTATGATGAAAATTTCAGGCCCACAATTGTAGAAATATGGAAGAAAAAATCAGTGGCGCAATACTCAGCGGCACCCTACCTAGCCACATTCCTCAACTGTGGCATTTGGGCGTTTTATGGAACCCCCATTGTGCACCCAAATAGCCTCCTTTTGTTGACCGTTAATGCCTCAGGCGTAGCCTTTTCCATTGTTTACTTATTCGCGTTTCTCTACTGCTCCGACAGAAAAAAGAGGTTTAAGGTAGCTCTCATCGTCCTGGCCGAGGTTGTTTTCATGGCGGCTCATGCCATTCTAGTCCTAACTCTTGCCCATAATTGGAAACTTCGATCTGCCATTGTTGGTGGCATTGCAGGGGTGTGTAGCATTCTCATGTACGCCTCTCCCTTGGCAATCATGGTTCGTACTTTAACTTAATTACTTTATTTTCAACTTTCATTCTTTTAATTAATTTGCATGGTTGCCAACTACCATGTAGTATGATGGCATCCGGATTATCTATCCAAGTGGATAGTCAAAGGTTCGAACCCCGATGGCGGGGGCTTATATTCTTTGTGTTGAAAATGTTTGAGAAAGTATAAAACAGAAACTACCTTGTAAAGAATCAAGTATTTCAAAAAGAAAAAAATTAATTTGCATGGTTTTTAACATTTTCTTGGAATTGTTGAGTATGGAGGAGCCTTAAATCTGTAGACCAACTTTCTCATTCTTAAAGGAGCCTACCAATTCAGCAATTCAATTAGTCATGGTTTTTAACATTTTCTTGGAATTGTTGGGTATGGAGGAGCCTTAAATCTGTAGACCAACTTTCTCATTCTTAAAGGAGCCTACCAATTCAGCAATTCAATTAGTCACTGTGTCAGAAAGTGGATATCCCGTTTCACTTATAAAAAAGTTTCAGTGAATTCCATTTTTGGTCCTACTCTTATAGGGGTCATTCTAATTTTAGTCCACCATAATTATTTTTGCCACATTGCGTCCACTATTATTAAAAGTGTTCCAATTTTAGTCCACGAAAAATCTTAAAGTGGACTAAAATTGGAACACTTTTAATAATGTGGACGCAATGTGACAAAAATAATTATGGTGGACTAAAATTGGAAAAGCCCCTATAACAATAGGACCAAAAATGGAATTCACTCAAAAAGTTTTTATGGCCCTGTTTGGTAGTCTAGCTGAAAAGCTAACTAAAAGTTGAGAGTTGAAAAGCTAGTAGCTAATAAGTTAACTAATTGAAATTGGAGTGTTTTAGTAAAATTAATTTTGAATTAGCTGATAATTGTTAATTAAAAGACATATATACAAAGATAAGTTAAGATATTAGGGTTTTGATTAACAAAGGTAGATGGTGTCATTTTTGTAATTGTATATTAATAAAGATAATAAAAAAAATAAAAAAAATAAAAAAAATAAAAAAAATAAAAGTTAGTCACGAGCTTATTTTGAAATGCTACTTAGGATAACGTTTCAAAATAAGATATTAGCTCTCCATGTTTACCAAACAAAGCTTATAGCTTATTAAGTTCTACCAAATATAGCGGTTGACATCTATGTATTATGTAAATTTTCATTTTCTTTTGTTGTGCAGAAATTGGTGATTACCACAAAGAGTGTAGAATACATGCCATTTTCCATTTCATTATGCTCGTTTATGAGTGGTCTTTGCTGGACTGTCTATGCCCTTCTTCCACTTGACCCATATATTCTGGTGACTATTCTTCCCATTCAAATATTTTCTTTTACATTAGATAATAAATGTGTATGCTAAAAGCCTAAAACATAAAATAACTTTAAAGGTACGTATGTTTCAATAAATAAATTTTCGTTACTTAAAATAACTTCTCTTATCAAAAAATAGAAGAGAGAAAAAGAAACAACACAATAGCATCTATGCAGAGAATAATGAAAAGCTTATTACCCAATAAAAAAACAAAAAATGTCCTTTCAGGTGCCAAATGGTATAGGAGCTCTAGCTGGATTGGCACAATTAGTGTTGTACGCAAAATACTACAAATTCAACAAAAGTGTTGATGAGAATTCTCCGGGCTTAGCTCAATGGTTTAGTAGACAGTACTGGAGAGAAGAAGAGAATTCCCGGGTTGATATGGAAGTGGGCATGACTGAGATTGACTTATCTACCCACGCCACGAAACCCAGCAGTGAGGCATGAAAGAAGATGTTTGATTGCATGCATATTATAATATAATGATTAGATGCATGACGATATTATAATCAACATTATGTTTTATTTTGATTGATATGGAAATAACACATTTATTTTTATTTCAAATGATCGATGAGCCAATACCGCATTTTACAATTAAGGGTGCGTTTGAAAATTTGAAAAATGATTCTGGAAATTATTTTACGGGTTTCCAGTGTGATTAGAGGGAGAAAATGGAAGTCAATATAAAATAGAGGTGTGGTCAATGAAAAATAGAGGGGGTTTTCTGAAAAATGACTTCCCTTTTTTTTTTTTTAAGAAATCATTTTCTGTTTGCAGTAGTGGGGGTAAGGAGCACCCAATCACCCGCCGCCGCCAAGACCCCCCACCATCAACACTACCATCATTGTATATTTTAAATATTTAAAATTAAAAATAATTATGCTCATTTTTTCAGAAAATGAATCAAACACATCAAGACAGTTTTTCAGAATGCAACCAAACACAGGAAATAAAAATGCTTTCTGAAAATGACTCATTTTCCAGAAGTCATTTTCCTACTTTTCAAACGGACCCTAAAGATCAAAAGGCCATGGTCAAAAAGTAGTGTCCCAAGAACATGAAAACAATCAATTTAAAGAATAGAAAGAAGAAAAATTCAAACAAATTAAAGCAAAAATTTTCTAGCAAGAATAGAGTCTCAACAATTTCTTCCCCTCACTTTTTCGAGTCATTGTGTGGCACTGAAGAGCAAATGAACCCAAAATGGAGAAATACAAGGAGATTCCTATTTACTTAATGGCTCCTTAACAGATTTTACATTTGCTGGTTGCGTTATCAATGAATGTCGGGGAAGTATCGACGACACTTTGAAGCAGTGTCTTTCAGGTTCATAATGCTATGATATGTGTCTTGTGAGTTGTATTGTGATTTTTTATGTTTTGTGTTATAAAATTATGTATCTTACAAGTATAAATTTTGTACCTTGTTGTGTCATTCCACGGTTCATACTGCTATGTGGATCTTGATCCATAATATAAATTGTCATTTTTAAAAGGGAGAAGTGTCAAATAGATCCATCTACTATTTGAAAGTGTTCAATTCCCCCCACCATCTAAAATATGTGGTAATCAGGCACATTTACTCTCTAAATTTGTTCAATTAGACTTTTTCGTAGGTTATCACCAATTTTTGATGACGTGGCCCGGTTACCATTACATGTCACTAATTACATGGCTTTAAAATAATAAAAAAATAAAATAAAAAATAAAATAAAAAGTGGGTCAAATCTGAATTACTAAATAAACACCTTATTTTCCCTAATCTATAAAAAATTTCCGCCGCATGCTCGAGCTTGCCTCAAATCCCGCCGTCGCCGTTGCAAATCCCTCAAATCCGCCGCTTCTACATGCTCGAGCTCGTCTTCCACCGCCGTATGTTGGAGTATCCTTGCCTCACCTCCGATCCCGCACACGCCGCCCGTCGTCTACCTCTCGTACTACGCCGGCCTCGACAACCTCCGCTACCACTTCGGCCCCAAAGCCAACTCCTACTTCCGCTACGGCCTCAATTTGTACGATTACATAGCCCGCGTAGATTCCCCTCCGGGTGGGCAAGAAATCTAGGTCACGATAATTTTCTGGTAATGGCCCGGCTGGCCTTGGATTTCACGCAGCCGGTGATACTCATCGATTTTCTTGTTCAGAGAGTCTATTTCCAGATCTTGATTCGGAGATCAACCTTGCAGTCAACGTTGGAGGTCGTGGCTTTTGACGGCGAGAGTTTGCTTTGAGGCGGAGATTGTTGTTTTCAGAGTTGTGGTGTTTTTGGTGCCGTGTTCGAACGCCGAAAAAGATCCGGTTCCGACGGGGATGTCGCCGGAAATATGGAGCTTTTCGTTGGGGTTTGGGGCGGAGACGGATATGTTGAGTTTGGAGGTGAGGGTGGTGGAGGAGAGGTCGAATTGGGAGACGTGGAGAGAGTTGACGGCGAAAGTGGGCTGTTCGGGGCGCTGATGTCACCACCAATAACATAAAATTTAATGTCATTAAATTTATTTCCAGGTCAGCCAGTGGAATGGGCAACCGGATGGTAACCTGTGAAAAAGTTTAATTGAACAAATTTAGAGGGTAAATGTGCTTGATTAACACATATTTTAGATGGTGGAGGGAATTGAACACTTCTAAATAGTAGATGAGTCTATTTGACACTTCTCCCTTTTTAAAATGTTGATATATTGAACAGTTGAACTCGATCAGTTAAGTATGAATTGAAATTGACCAAACAAAAAGAAAATATTGATAAAGACAAAATCAAAAATGACGACTCTTTAAAAATAAAGAGAATCAAAATCACCATTTAGCAAAATTTTGATGTATATACACAAAATGTTGGGCCCATGCATTACAAGAATTTGTAACCAATAATTTTAGAGTTAATACCACTTGGGGTACTCTGACTAGGGTGATTTTGTCACATTTAATCATAAACTTTTAAATTGACCACTTGTGGTACTTCGACTTTTAAATTATTACCATCCGTGATCCTTCAAATTTTCAATTGTTACCGTCTGTGGTCCAAGTTAACCACACATGATCCTTCGATTATCAAATGTTAACCACATGTGGTCCTTCCAAGAGGATCGCGGCTGGTTAAATTTTGAAAGTTGAAGGACCATAGGTGGTTAACTTTGACCAAAGACGGTAACAATTTGAAAGTAAAAGGACCACCGGTGATCAATTTGAAAGTTTAGGACTAAACGTGACAAAACCACTATACTCGAAAGATTCCAGTTGGCATTAACTCAATAATTTTACATGGAAAACACACAAAATGGTCAACCAATTTCTCCTCCATTCCTTAAGCATTTTTATTGTTGGAATAAGGGCCAAATAAGCCATCGAACTGCGCACATTAAGTATTAAAATGACGCACTTTAAGCTTTGAAAATACGCATCTTAAGTGTTAAAATGGCGCACATTAAGTATTAAAATGACGCACTTTAAGTTTTGAAAATACGCATCTTAAACTTTAATTAAAGAATTGAAAAAAACTTTGAAGATACGACGTCGATTTTCTTTAGTAATAAAAAATAAAAAATGGTTCATATATTTATAACTTCGGTTTTTATAAAAAACTGACATCGTATTATTTTTAAAATTTTTAAAAAATCTGTAATTATTAACGTTAGTTTTTTAAATTAACCGGCGTTAAAACATTTTTAATAAAATTATATTTTGACGTCGGTTTTGTTAAAACCGACGTTATATGTTATTTTTGTAGTAGGATGACTTTAGGTAAGAAATTACATATGACGAAAATTAGATAGCTTTTTAAAATGTTGGTATACTGAACTCGATCAGTTAAGTATAAATTGACCCCCAAAAAAAATGATAAGACAAAATCAACAATGATGACTCTTTGGATTACCTTCATGATATAGCTCGTGCTCGCAGAGTTAGGGAGTTTCAACCAACAGTCTGAGTCTCCCCGGGTCTACCCCGTCCTTCCGATCAAAAAAAAAACAATGATGACTCTTTAAAAATATAAGAGAATTGAATCAAAATCCCCATTTAGCAAAATTTTGGTGTATATACAGGAAATGTTGGGCCATGCATTACAAGAATTTGTAACCAATTTTACATGGAAAAAAACATAAAATGGTCAACCAATTTCTCCTCCATTCCTTAAGCATTATCTAGTGTTGGATGTGGTGCCCAACTCTAGGTCCACTTGACTCTTATTGGAATTATTACAGTAGATTCCGTACAAAATTAATTGGGCCAGCCCAAGAAGTACTCCCACTCCATTAGTGATCTGAAATACAAGGCCCACCATTTAATTTGTGGCAAATTATAATGTGGACCGCAGTCCACAATGCATTGTGGTCCAGACATTAAAACGGTGCCGTTTCTTTAATGAAAAGAAACGGTACCCGTTCTACGCCTTTCCGTAAAAATTAATTTTGTTTGTATAACATATTCAGTTTCATTTTATATACATTGCAGTTTTATTTCAACACAACTACAGTTTCATTTCGATATAACTATAGTTTCATTCGACATTATACACTCAAATATGTGAAACTGTTATTCAGTTTCATTTTATATACACTATAGTTTCATTACAACATAACTACAATATCATTACGATATAGCCACAGCTTCATTGGACAATAAACACTCAAATGTGTGAAACTGTTATTCATTTTCATTTTATATACACTATAGTTTCATTTCAACACAACTCCAGTTTCATTTCAATTCAATTACAGTTTATTTGATAATATAAAAACAATATGTGATGCAGTTTCATTTTAGATACACTGTAATTTCATTTTGTAATTAACACACCAAAAATACAGGCATCGTTAAGTTGTAACGGCATCCGTTTCTTCACTTAAAGAAACGACGTTGTTTTTGGACCATGGTCCATGATATAATTGCTGTTAATTTGAGGCAAATTATTCTGTGGACCCGAGTCCAAATATACACAATTTACATACTAAATGTTCACAATTTATTTTTTTTAAAGTCACAATTTGTGATGACTCTGTATTGTCACAAATTCCCAAAACTTAAAAATACAATTTATGTTTTAGAAGTTCATAATTCCAATACTAAAAATACACAATTTTGAAATTGTTTTCTTTTAAAAAAAGGTTTATTGGTGAAAATAAACTGTAAAACACACCTTTAAGCTCATACCATGCTTAGCTTGTTACTTAAATTAAAATTATTATAATGTAACTTTTATTTAAAAAAAAAAAAAAAAAAAAAAAAAAACATGATTGTTTTACATAAAATTACTGTTTAGCGAGGAAAAAATGGAGGTTTTTTTTTTTTTTTTTTTGAGAATTTAATCGAGTGTTCTTACGAAACCGCTTGCAAATTCAAGTCAATTTTGAATTTTAAATAATGTATAAAAAATATTAGATCAAATCTTAGAAATGTTTTAAAATTTGCTACTAAATTATAGACTTAAAAATAACTAAAATTATCACAGAGCACCAAAATTGAATTATTTTCACTAATACCCTATTTAAAATAATATATATACTCTTCTTTGTGAAAATATTTATATTAAAGAAAAACAAAACAAAGTGCATGTAATTAGGAGACAGAACACTGACTCACCAGTATAAACAGATCAATTCTGAGGAGGGCGAAAGCTGCCCAGCAAAGAGCATTGGCAAATGTACATACGGAAAGAAACAATGGCATGTATTCCACACTCTTTGTGGCAATTACTGTTTTCTGCACCCAACAAATAATAATAATAATAATAATAATAATAATAATAATAATAATAATAATAATATGGCCTAATTGCATTACTTTGCCTGTTTAGAAGCTATTAATGGAGTACCTTTTTTTATTAGGGGACCTAATTACATTATTCTTTGGACATAAAATGTCAAAGTACGGTCCTGTTTGGTAACATATTTAGCTTATCATCCAATTTTGGTAAATTTTATTATGGACCATGGCCCAAAGCGGTGTCATTTCTTTTAATAAAAAGAAACGGCACTCGTTTCTTTCTTTTAATAAAAAGAAACGGCACTCATTTCTTTTAATAAAAAAAACGACACTCGTTTCGTGTAATTAATTCTGTTTGCATAACATATTCAATTTCATTTCAGCATAATTAAAGTTTAATTTTGTTTCGACTACAGTTTCATTTGACATTATACATACAATAGTCCGATTACAGTGAGGCCTGTTATTGATTTTCATTTTATACACACTGCAGTTTTACTACAACACCACTAAATTATAATTCTAATTCAACTACGGTTTCATTGGACAATATACACTCAAATATGTGAAACTGTTATTCAATTTCATTTTATATACACTGTGGTTTCATTACAACACAACTAAAGTATCATTTTGATATAATTACAGTTTCATTTGACATTATATACTCACTATGTGAGACATGTTATTCAATTTTTTTTATACATACTGTAGTTTCATTTCAACACAATTGAAGTATCATTTCAATTCAACTATAGTTTCATTTGACAATATACACTCAATATGTGAGACATGTTATTAAGTTTCATTTTATACATATTGTAATTTCATTTCAACACAACTAAAGTATAATTTTAATTCAATTACAGTTTCATTTGATAATATAAATACAATATGTGAGACAAGTTATTCAGTTTCATTTTAGATACATTGTAGTTTCATTTTGTTTTGAACACACAAGATATACGCGATTTGTTAAATATAACGGCCGTCGTTTCTTTACTTAAAGAAACGACGCTGTTTTTGGACCATGTTCTACTGTATAACAATTGACCAATTTTGACTTGTTTGACCACTATTAGCTATTTGACCTGGTTAAACAGCCAATATTAGTGTTTGGTTATTAGATTTTTGTAACAGCTTATTGCTCCAAATTAAACACTAAAATTCAAAAAGTTACTCTAAGCAACTTTTTCGATTAACTTTTTGAGAAAATAAATTATACCCTTAAAGGTCATTTTGCATGTATCAGTTATCAGCTAACATCTAATTTACCAAACATATTTCTAAAACCAACCAATGCTATCAGCTAACCAAACCCACTAACTCAATCCGCTAACAGCTATTTGCCGAACACCCCTACTCCTTTTTTGTTTTAAGTGACGAGAAAATTCTGTAGCAACTACTACCCAAGGGTGTTGATGTAGTAAATACCCGTGTTTATTATGAATACGTATAAAGTACAAGGTCAAACCGAGCTTCTGTCTTTGCGGGGTCTACTTGTTGGTTTAAGATATCGAGCTCGGATTATGGCGTGAGGCTAGAGGTTCCCAAGCTCAATAAGGCTATATAGAAATTCCAAAAAAGTCCCCTCTGCCAATGTCTTGCGGGGTACTTATAGGGGTTTTGAAAGGACACATGCCGAGGGTTCAACATTGGGAAGCTCTCGAAAATCTCAGGGGGAAAGCGTGAATTTGAGTTTACCCTATGCCCTATTTATATGTGAGCGAAGCGGGAGTTCAAAAAATCAAAAACCAGATTCCTAGGCGTCTACTCTGATGCAACATGTGGCAACGCTTAACTTTGAGCGATGGTCAGCATGGATCGCCGTATGCTTGGTTAACGGAATGCTGATCGTAAGCTGTGATATGATTTTATAGTCCGAGCTCCTCGCCACGTTGCCCTGACTCGGGACACGAACTAGGGGGCTACTGGATAGAGAATATACCTCAGTCTACTGCCTTTATTGTAACCAAGACTTGATCGGGTACGAATCACCCCAAGACCCGAATTATTTCTCGACCTGGACTGATTGGAAGATAAGGCAGCGTCTGACCCACCTGACCTGTAGGTTGATTGACTCATTGGCTTGATAAACCCCTGCCCTAACGTCGCTCTGTTCGGCCCCAACCAAACTATTCTCTCAAGACCCTGAGCACGTGTACTTGATTCCTATAAGCAATTAGCTAGTCAGAATAGTCCTTACACGTGTACGACTCTCCTTCAGCTGACCCAATTACCAAGTCCATGGAGAGCACGTGACGCTCATGTCAAACCCTCGGCATGTGTCCCTTCAGCACCCCTATAAATACCTCGCGAGACGCTGGTAGAGGAAACTTTTTTGGAATTTTTATATAGCCTTATTAAGCTCGGAAACCTCTAGCCTCACGACATAGCCCGAGCTCGATATCTTAAACCAACAAGCAGACCCCACAAGGACTGAAGCCCCATCCGACCTTGTACTTTATACGTATTCATAATAAACACGGGTATTTACCACATCAGGTGAGCACAAAAACAATTTCTGTAGACTATGGTCCATACAACTATGTGGACCATTAATAAAATATATATTTTTAATATACTAAAGATACATTATTTATGTACTAAATGTACATTATTTGATAATATACAAAATAATGTACATTCAGTACTCAAATAATGTATTTTCAAATAATTGACATAGCTTCAATATACAAATAATGTACTTTTAGTGTATTAAAAATGTACATGGTCAATAGAATAATAATTGGGTGTGTACGGGGTAAATCTAGCCCCCGTATGTCCCTAGCCTAAATTATTCACAGCTTAATTACCGACTCAAACCAATAAGAGAAAAGTAAAACTTGTAAAAATTATGGGACAATGCAAGTATAATTAATGCGTAAGAAGAATTATTGAATTGAAGTTGGTGAATTATAGTAACAAACCATGACTGCCAAAGGAGAAGCATACATCAGGATGCCACCCACCACACAAATGCTGCCAATAATAGTTGCTCGAAGTTCGTAAGTATGGGCAAAATGTATGTCGAGAGTATAGAGAGTGGCCATGAAAACAACCTCGGCAAAGATGACGGAAGCTATGAGAAGCCTCTTCTTTTTGTCGGAGAAAATGAAGAAAATAATGGAATAGACTAACTCAATGGCGATGCCTGTGCCATTGATGGTCATCACAAGAATGCTGTTGGGGTGCACATTGGGCATCGAGTACAAACACCAAATCCCACAGTTGAAGAGAGTTGCTAGGTACGGTGCTACAGTGAATTGCATCACTGATTTGTTCTTGCATATTCTCACAAATGTTGACCTATATATATATGTTGGTCACTTGCATTGATCATAATTCACAATTCGGTTTGAATCAAACCATACGCTATACAAATCAAATCTTAACCGAGCTTTAATTTACTGTTATGTTTTCTATGCTATATTTGAGTGTGAGTATGTAAAATCTTTGAAAGGGGATAGAGCCATGGTCACAGCTAGCCACTTTATCATCTAAGGATCGGAAAGCAGGAAAATGACTTCTGAAAAATGAGTCATTTTCCAGACAAATTTTTCTTCATGGTTGTATTCTGAAAAATTGTCTTGGTGTATTTGGTTCATTTAAAATGAGTATAATGGTATAATTAAACATTTTAATTATTTTATTTAGAATATTATAGCATGTATAATAATATATAATAATATAATAATCTTAAATATAATAATAATAACTAATAAGATATCAAAATAACTCACCAAAGTCTTGTAATTCAACATACAACAACAACAACAATAATAATAATAAGTGGTATAGTAGTGGTGGTGGTGGTGGTGTGGCACTACTGGAAATTATGGAATTTCCGACCACCTGAAAGTGATCTTAAATCAACTGGACAGCAAAAAGTGGTTGAAAATAGCAATAAAGGTTTTTCCGGATACCAAAAGTGGTTGGAACAAGGCTTTCGACTTGATTTAAGATCACTTTCAGGTGGTCGAAAATTCCATAATTTCCAGCAGTGTGGTAGTGGTAGTGGTGGTAGTGGTGTTATTTGTTATATAATAATAATAATAATAATAATAATAATAATAATAATAATAATAATAATAATAATAATAATAATAATAATAATAATAATAATAATAATAATAATAATAACAACAACAACAACAACAACAGCAACAACAACAACAACAACAACAACAACAACAATAATAATAATAATAATAATAATAATAATAATAATAATAATAATAATAATAATAATAATAATAACTGGTAGTGGTATGACGGTGGTGGTGGTGGTGTAGTGACGGTGGTTGCGATGGTATGGTGGTGGTGGTGATGGCGGTGGTAATGTGGTCTTGTACTGATGGTGGTGATGGTGGTAGTGAGGTGGTGGTGGTTGTTGATGGTGTTGGTGGTGGTAGTGGTGGTGGTGTGATGGTGGTGGTGTGGTGGCGGTCATTGCGGTGTTATGTTGTTGATAGTGTTGGTGGTGGTGTGATGGTGGTGGTGTGGTGGCGATGGTAGGGTGGTGGTAGCGGTGGTAGTGTGGTCTTGTACTTGTAGTGGTGGTGATGGTGGTAATGAGGTGGTGGTGGCCGGTATGGTGTTGGCGGTGGAGTGGTGGTGGTGTGATGTTGGTGTAAAAGTTGGAAAATGACTTCCCTCCAAAAGTCAACGGAAATAATTTACATTGACTTGATTTTCCAGACACATCCAAACACTGAAAACCTGAAAAATGATTCATTTTCCAGATTTCCAAACACACCCTGACTAGATTTTGTGCTCTCCTGTTTTGTTTTCTATGCTATTTTGAGTGTGGGTATGTAAAATCTTTGAAATGGGATAGAGCCATGGTCACAGCTAGCCACTTTATTATCATCTAGGTAGATTTGGTGCTTTAGTGTTTTGTTTTCTATGCTATATTTGAGTGTGTATATGTAAAATATGAAATATCATCTAGGTAGATTTGGTGCTTTAGTGTTTTGTTTTCTATGCTATATTTGAGTGTGTATATGTAAAATATGAAATATTTTGATCGGTATGTATAGATAGAGAAATATTATATTATACTATATAAAAACAAAAAAATTTTCAAAAATATAAAAACAAAAATCATACTATCTCTTCAAATTTCAAGCAAATGAGACATATAATTGTGCTCAAATGCACATAACAATTTTCATTTTTAAAATTATGACACGAAACAAGAAATATAGCATCGTAGAGACTCTTGTTATAAAACACTTGACATGCATGATACTAGAAGTCTTGGAGATCAAAGTGGAACTTACACCGGTGCCAAAAACAAAATTAATGCAGTGACATTCCCTGAAAGAAAGTGACCAAATAAATATGAAATTTAGAATGTAAAATAATTAATTAGAAACTAGAATTTAAAAAAAAAAAAAAAAAAAAAATTGACACAGAAATTATGTGCTTGCATGTGTGACAATAAAACACTAATAATCTAATTTATAACAACAACTAACCGCAGATGCCGACTACTGTATGGGCAAGTTCTCTAAAGATCATGATTATTTAAGAATTATATGTAAATATACTAGATGATACAGAAAAATAAACTAGGAAAAAAAAAAGAATACTAAAAATGTTTATTTATTTATTTATTTACTTAAAAAATTAAAAAAAGAAGAAATATATATAGAGATTTGGAAAATTTTATTATAGAGTAGAGTGATGATGTCCTACATGTATATATATATATATAGTAAGAGAGAGAGAGAGATTAAAGAGATGATTGAGGAGGTACAGTAAAAAGAGTGGCGCTGAGAGAATAATGTGGCACAAAGGGACTTCTATTTTTACGTTTGTTGTTTGACTGGTGTTTTCTTGAATTTTGGTTGATTTTTATTCTAAATCAAAATATTTGTGTTTTTCAGCCGGCCAAAGTCTTGAATGCGTGATAAGGTTCCTTGCTAAATATTAAACATGTTTGTATAAGTAGCATTAAATTGCCATCAATAAGGTAGAAAGTATGGTATTGTAAGTATGAGGTTGGTGGGTGTGTTTGCATGAAAAGCATAAAGTTCGTTATTGTAAAAATATGATGCATGCTAACTTGTTTTTTAATTGAGAACTAAAAGCGATGAACCTGTAAACTTATTATATATATGTTGGTAATATTATGAAACTTGTTTGGTGTAATTTATTTCATTGTCATTGTCTAAGTGTTTTGTGTTTTCTTCAGTTTGCAGGCCAGGTAGCATATAGAAAATTGTGGTGAATTTATACTAAACAATAACCATCTATATATTGGAACAATATTGTCATAAGTTGTATGAATGTAATGTATATTATATATTATAGGAATAAGGGTACAATAAATTATTGAGTTACACACAATAATGCAATTAGGTCATTGAATCTTAAAAGGATTACAATTGAATCCCTAAACTAACCAATTTAATGACATTAGTTCAGTTTGCAGGTTTTACAAGTTTTTAACATGTCACTCCAATTTTTTTTTTAAATAATTGTTTTAAAATATTTTTTAAAAAATAATTGATGTTCTCCCATTTCTCTTTGCACTTTCCTGTTGGGCATAGAGGACTTGATGGACTGCATGTTGTTCATTACCGCCCAGGAGCGGAGCCAGGATTTAGGAATGCGGGGGCCAATCATGATAATTGTTAGAAAAGCAAGATCCTTTTGTTAGAGCTGAAATTTTTTAAAGCTTTTGGATGAGACTATGGGAGTGGGGGTGGGGGCTGGATTTTTTTGGATGAGAATGAGGCTGAATTTTGGAGTAAAGAGTACTCTGGAAGCTTTTGGAGCTGAACTTTTTTCAAAGCTTACACTAAAGGGGTGTTTGGTTGGGAGGAAGGAATTAGGAAAGAAATGAATTGCAATTCGGTGGGAAAAGAATAAGGTAGGAATAATGTAGGAATTCAAATTACATTGTTTGGTATGGATGAATAGAACTATTGAGGATGTGAAGGAAAAAGTAGTATAAAGACTACAATGTCCTCCCAAACATTTTAATTGAGGTCTTCATTGCAATTCCCTCCAATCAAACATTGTAATTAAGGTCTTCATTGAATTACAATTCAATTACAACTAAACTACATCCAACCAAACAAGGCCTAAGTCTATTCTAGAACCTTTTGAATGAAACAAGGGGGGCCAATTGGCAAAATAAATAAATAAAGGGATAAGAGTCAAATAGACCCTTCAACTATATGCCAAAGTACAATTAACCCCCTAAACTAACAAAAGCTCCAATTAAGCCCTTCATCTATCAACTTTTATGCAATTAAGTTAATTAACAGGTTACATTTAGGTCACGGATAATTTTTTAATTTAAAAAATAAATTAAAATAATAAATATATTTTTAACTCAAATAAATTAATAAATTTATATATATAAACCTCCGGCGACCTCTGATTATAATTGGTGAAGAAAATTGTCCGGCGACCTCTGATTATAATTAGTGAAGAAAATCGTCCGGTGACCTCTGATTATAATTAGTGAAGAAAATCGTCCGGCGACCTCTGATTATAATTAGTGAAGAAAATTGTCCGGCGACCTCTGATTATAATTAGTGAAGAAAATCGTCCGGCGACCTCTGATTATAATTAGTGAAGAAAATCGTCCGGCGACCTCTGATTATAATTAGTGAAGAAAATCGTCCGGTGACCTCTGATCATAATTAGTGAAGAAAATTGTCCTCCGTTGGGTTGGTATACTAGTTTGCTGATTCTTAGGAAAGGTTTCTTTAATTTGCTTAATTAAGTGAAGAAAGAAATGGTTTGGGAGAAGCAACTACGAACTGCCTCCATAGTCGCAAAAGGCGGAGGAATGTTCATAAATGTGATGACAGACGAGCAAATGGAAATCACTGCCTATGCCACCATTTTTGAGCAGTTCGCCGATTTGCAAATCGCTCCGCAAAGAAATCACTCGGCCACGGATTCTCCATCGACGAGAACGAAGCCGGCCACGTCTGTATTATTATTATTATTATTATTATTATTATTATTATTATTATTATTATTATTATTATTATTATTATTATTATTATTATTATTATTATTATTATTATTATTATTATTATTATTATTAAAAATCAATATTACCTGTTATTATCTTATGTTTACTTACAAATTGAGCTAATTGCACAAATATAAAAATTTATATGCATAATTGCATAAAAGTGAAGAGAAAAAGTGCCTAATTGGAACTTTTGTTAATTTGTGTGGTTAATTACACTTTGCATTATAGTTTAAGGGCCTATTTGACCCTTATCCCATAAATAAATAAATAAATCCTTATAATATTAATATAAAAAAAATTGGAGGGAGGGGGGGAGGGGGCAAGGCTCCCTGCATGGTATATGTGGCTCCGCCACTGTTAACGCCTGCTCCAAACCCAAGGGGATGAGATGTTAGAAAAAATAGCTTAAAATAGCATAAAATGACATAATAAGTGACTATTTTGTGGTATAATAATTAGTGGGGTCTATTCCCGGTTTGGATCGGGTCAAAGTGGATTCGGGTTCTTCATAGTGAGACGAAAAGATTGATATATTGTACTCTCAAAACGAATAATGGATGAATGTGAAATTAATTCTCAAAGTAGACTCATTTGTGTTAAAAAAATAAAAATAGAAAGTAATTTTTATCCTATATTAATTTAGAAAGTGGGTTTGCGCCACTATTTATACATGAGCCTTTCCTGACATATAGGCCACTATTTTTGTCGCCATAGCTGGTTGGTGGCGCCGGTTCCAAAGGCGATTGTGGTGTGGGTGTTGATAGGCTTTCCGGCATTGGGGTTAATATTTTTTGTGAAGAGATTAATTGAAAAGTGTGATATATAAACTTAAAAGGCTTTGGGAGAGGAGAAAGAAAAAGGCAATTTTTTCTATGTATCATGATCTATGTAGCAGTATGGTCCATAAAATACGTATTATTTTAATTTTATTTGACAATATTACTCTATTTTTTTGTTGCATTTTCACACATACTAATTTTATTATAGTAATACCAAAGTAGCATTTTTTTGAAAGTAAACTGCTGTATATATTAATCAACCAAAGCCGAAATAAAGGAAGGAGGGTTATCCTCCCACAACATCGAGTTTGCCTGCGCAGAGGCTGTCTGAGCTAACGAATGAGCTATAATATTTAAAGAACGATGAATATAAATAATAGAGCAGAAAATTAAATTATTCATCAAATCCCGACATGCTGAAACAGCTAAACCATCGTAAGTGCGATCCTCCGTCGCTGAATTGCCAAGTGCGTGACACAGGTTCGAACAATCTGACCGTAACTCCACCTCCGTGACTCCACGATTAATTCTACTAAAATTTAATTTGACAATATACATTATTGCATGAGCTCTATTTTGTAGTTTCATTTTTCACACATACTAATTTAATTATAGTAATATTAAAGTATTACTTTAATTACACTATAGGTTCATTTGACAATATATGTTATTGTTTGACTCCGAATTTAGTTTCATTTTCCACATATATTAGTTTCATTGTAACAATACTAAAGTATCATTTTAATTATACTAGAGTTTCATTTGACAATTAAGTTATTGAATGAGCCCTGTATTTTAGTTTCATTTTTCACCCACACTAATTTTATTATAGCAATACTTAGTATCATTTTAATTCTATACAATTTCATTTGATGATCATGGTCCATACCGCATGATCCACCGTATAACAGCTCAAGAAAAAGAAACGCCATCTGACTAAATGCTTTGGGAGAGGAGAAAAGTAAAAAAAGATATTTATTGGGAGTATATTTTATTTTTATTATTTGTGTATTTTCTTTGATGGTTCTAAAAGTATTTACATTTGTGAATTTTTTGGGGTTTTTACAGATCAAAAAAATTAAGAAAAGGTTTTTAACTAGTATGGGAATAAATTTTTGGGGTAGTTTTTGTCCTTGCAGGTTTCGGTTTTTTGAGGGGCTCACATGTGAGAAAAAAAAAAAAAAACCAAAAAAAAACTAAAAAAAAACAAAAAAAAAAAAAACAAAAAAACAAAAAAAAAAAAAAACAAAACTTAATCCATGCGCATTATGCACAGGGAGCGCACCCAAACGGGCACATGCACTGCACCCACCCGCTAGGACGTCTTCCCTTACCTCTTTTTTTTTTTTAAAAAAAAAAAAATTGTGTACTGCATCAGACTTTTTTTTTCTTCCTTTTTCCTTCTCTTTGTTTCTTCTCTCTCCTTGTTGGCTCATAAAAAACTGTGAAAAATGTCAAACTGATATGGATGCTTAAGTGGAATGGTCGCGGAAAGTGTATTTTAATGTTTTTTTTTTAAAAAAATCTATAGTTTCCGCAACAATTCTAAGTGAAACGATTGCGGAAACTTAACGGTTTTTTCAAACCGCGATTGTTTTACTTGGAAAGGTCAAAGATTTTTATTCAAATATTTACAATTTTACCACTCAAGTTTTTTTTAAGAATACACCTTCCTTTTTTTATAGAAGTGTTGCGAAAAATTACTCTCCTTTGTTCATTTTTATGCCCGCTCCATCGCA